CTGACAAAATAATTATTTTGAGCTCATGCAACTAATTTCTATTATGTTCATGCTATTTGCCATCTGAAAGATTTTCATCAGTTGCCAACTTCAGATTCAAATGCTAGACCATAGATATGCTGAATTTTTACCTGAAGCTAATATCAAGTAACCTACAAAATGTAAATTAGCAGAACTTTGCTCAAAGAAATAATATACCCATACTTTAAGGCAAGAGTGATCATAATGTTTTGAGAAAGAAAAAAGGACAATTTGATGGTAGCTTGTAATTTTAGTTCATTTTGAAATGTTCCCAACTTGCATGGGGGGAGGCAGATTCTATAACCGTGCCTATTAAATGATGGGTCAGGGAAAAGCAGTCTGAAAATTAGTAGAAAAGTGGGGTGACTTGATTAGTGGAAAAAGCTGAAAAGCAGCAGCTAATTCATTCAGCACTTCTATGGGGATCTTCTATGCTAAAAGATGTGTGTACAGAGCAGAAAAAGGAATTTAAAAAGCCTTTTCTTGCTTACACTTATATTTTGGTTTGCCCTTCCGTTAAAATAGTTTCTGTATATGTGTGTTTTAAACTTAGTACACCCAGCAGGGGAAAAGTTTTTAATAGCATTGCATTTTCTCATGATCTCATGTCTGCTGACTCCTTAAATGATTGAAAAATCCCATTCTCCATCATTTTACCGTAAACATATTGCTGCTTGTCATTTTTTTCTTTAGTTAAGCCCAAAATCCCTTAAACTTTCCTTATAGGAAAGTGTTTTGTGTTTCCAATCATGACTCTCCTTCATTTCACATTCTTTAATGATACAAACATAGCCATACATAATTATTATACCATGCATTTTTATTAACTTTATAGCAGTATTTCTTCTCTCCTCACTTGTACATAAAACATCGGTGCTTTTCATTTTCCTTTTTTTATGTTTCATTATTTGTTTAGATTTCATCTCTTTCACTTGTTTTATATACACAGTAAAACCAATGTGAGAATGTGTTTACCATCCTCATTTTGGAATTGTTTCCTAATACTATATAATCATCCTTTTAAGCATCCATAAAATGAGTTAACATTTTTATACAATTGTAACAGGATTGAGTCTCAAGTATAAATCTAGCATAGTGTTCACTAATTAGCCTTAACCAATACTGGAAAATGGACAAACATCCCCAAAGGAAATATCTTCCCTATTTGTGCCAAGAAACTATGGACATATTCAAAAAGTCATCAAAGTCAATGTTTTTATTCTTTATTTTAGATTATCCAGTGTCCTTAGTTTGTGGCTAATCAACCCCATAGTGTGAGCTCCTCTCAATGGCTCCAGCAAAGAACCTTAATCAAAGTGTAACTATCAAGTAGTGAGCATCTTTTATCTCATCTGTTTCGGGAACTGGCATTCTCAAAGGAATACACGGCCTAGAAAAGAAAGATCTGGCACATAAAATATGGCCTTTTAAATGAAGTGTTAGTGCCCTCCAGTGGCCTATCTTAGAAACATTAATTACATCATATTGTAACAAATGTTTTGATGTGGCAAGTTCTTGCCAAAACAGTATCACATAAGAAGTAGGAAGTGCTGAGGAAAAATAATATAGGAACGTAAATAGTTAATTTTTTATTACTTCAAAGTGTTTTTTGATCTCAGTTCTTGGAAGCTTCATGACACATCCATGTCATTTTCCTTGGATTCTAATAGGTTAGGATTTATTTCTTTTAAAAAATCTTTCTGGTCCAACCCACAGCCCTGGCACTTCTCTGAAATTTCCCCTCTCTAATCAGGCCCAGTCCTGTTAATGTTCAAACACAAATGAGGTCATTCAACTTTTTAGTTCCTCCTTGCATCTTGCCCATTGACATTATTCATCAATACCCTTTTCATTCTTCAGTAGAAGGAAAAATTAAAACCCCAAAAAGCTCTTAACTACTGTTAAGGAATAGAAAATGCTTATTATGTTTTAACTCGAAGACTGGAATAGCCTGTGAAGATGATTCAGGAATTGCAGATCTGAGAGAGCAAGTAGGTTTTTAATAGATAGATAGATAGATAGATAGATAGATAGATAGATAGATAGATAGATAGATAGATAGATAGATAGATAGATCATCATGTACTGGAAAAATTATACCTATTAGTAAGTTTCTCTGGGACTCAATTCAAAATACTTACTATGGAGTATAAAACTTCATATATTTTAGGCCCAAGTTGTTTCCAGGATTTACCAATTATTAGGACCTCCAGTTGATCCTACCATGGATATGTTTAATAGTAATTTCTAGTTCTTTCTCTCTGATGGCTCTGTATTATGAAAGAATTTCAAATGAAGCTGAACATAGCCTTCCTACTGTAATAAATTTAAGAGATTTAAAATCTCTTTAAGTCCTTTGGGAGTAGGGCAGTATACAAATTCAATAAATAATAATAAATAATAATAATCTACATAGGCCCTTTATAGACTTTTTTATGCTACAAATTTTAATAGATACGACACTGAATTTTAGTTAAGGATATTTATACACCTACATCAAACAACAACAGCAAGGTTGAAAAGACAACTGCAAGACCAAAAGAGAGTTGCTTTAATATTGTTCATTTTACATTAATAGATCCTAATATGAAAGTAAAATGTACTAGAAAACATCTTAAATAGGTAAATCAATTACTTAAGAAAATGGTAGGTTCCCACATAGCTGAATGTAGTAAACAGAGGCAGAATAGTTTTCTAATGTATACTGTGTTTCTTGCAGTAAACAATGCTAAAATTTAATAAAATAAATGTTCCTTTCCAACTTAGTGATTTGTGAAGCTTATATGCCCTAAAGCAATCATCCTCAACTATGTAATTCCTGTGTACTATACTGAAAAACTGTATGATCCAACCTGGCAAAAGAGAAAACTTACAATATAGGTAACAGATAGAGCTTATGTTAGAAGCAAATTAAGAGTTTTTAAAAGACATACTAAGAATATTAGCATTAACAGCCAGTAGATAAACCCTATACCCGTGGGGGGGAAATTTGCCCTGTAACAATAGCATCCGCTGGCAAAAGCCGAAAGTCAAGTGTGTTGCAGCAATATGATTTACATAGGAACAGAACTGCAACCAGGCTATCACAACTTTTGTCATGAACCTATTTAACACACCCTTCTAGGTGCTGCTGTCTTCTAAAATCTTGAACATGTTAAATGCCAATGTTATTCCCTTGAGCTTGTTTTAAAAAATAGCCGAAAAATCCTTGATAAGAGCTTTTATCTAAAGTTTTTTAAAATCTTCAGTGAAAACTGTTCTCTGCATATAGTTGAGATAGATCTTTGTGATTCCATAGAAAGTCCATCTTTCACTCTTCACATTTGTATTCTAGTTGGGTTAAATGTCTTTAATAATCTGATGTGCTTAATTTTCTACTATTATTCTTTTAATATCTGCTAGTTCTGAGCTTTTAAAAATTGTTGTAAGCCATCTGAACATTGTCATGAAAGAATATAAATTAATAATTTAGTACTTATATTATTTCACTAATTCATTTGGTAGAAACCAAATTCCTCTGGCTATAAAGTTAGTTCCATACAATCTCTTCTGTTTTGATATTTCAGTCATGTTCATACCACAAAACTAAGAAGCATCTGAGTAAAATACCTAATCTATTAGTTCTCTACGGACATCCTCATTGCCATGCTTCATCTATTATTGCCATACAAAAATCTGATTGCAGTAGAATTACAACGTGCATATATAGACAAAGTTATATACTCATCCATGCTATTAATATTCTCATGAAATAATTTATAAAAGAAAGCAATTGAAATTGTAGAAAATTTCTTGTACTTAGATTTGCATCCCTTCTTTCCTCCAGAAGCATAAGGCAATATACATAGGTCTCCAATTTTTCCTAAGCCATGTGAGATAGATCACACTCAAATCTACTGGCTCAAAGCATAGTTATTCTATGAGGGAAATGGACGGTTCCTAAACATGATAAATACTTCCAAGGAGTTTTCATGGCTGGATCTGGATCTGGATCTGGATCTGGATCTGACCAGCTCTAATCCAATACCTTCACTACTACATCAGAGTGGCTGTGTAAAAAGAACAGGGATCTCTCTATGACTGCAGGAGTCCTCTTATCATTGTAATGTTTCCATCAGGTTTTGCATACATACTATATAATCTTGTCCTCTGTTTGCATAACTGGTTATTTGAATATTTAAGCCAATATTAAAACAGACCAATGTGCCATAGAGGAAAATGTCTTACAATGTACACTGCACACCGGTTCTTATGAGACCCCAAACAGTACAAATTGTGTTAATCAGTTACAATGGAGATCCCCAAATTCTTCAACTCATCAACTCCCCTCATGAAGTGTCAGATTGCTCATTAACCCCTGAACATTTATTATATGAAAATATAATTTTTAAAATACTACTTTAATTTATAGCACTACAAATATTATCAATCCCTTGGATAAGTCCCATTGAACTTTGAAGGTTGATATTAGTCATACCAGGGAGCCCCCATGTAAAAGAAAAAAAAAACCTTGAACTTTGAAATTTACACTTTCCTGTCACGCATCTACGATTACAATTTTAGAGAAAGTCGTATAAAGATATTTAGATACGGAAGTCTTCCTGGCCCCTTCTTCCCGGCTTGGGCAATTGTCAACAGGTGTCTGACCCCGCCTAGCCCTGCCCTGCTTTATTTTTGTTGAACAACTTCCCGCTTGACTCGCTTTGTCCAAACAAAAAATAATAATTTATTACGGCTCCGCAAGATAAGAGGCAACTTAACCTGGCCTTGAGTCCTACTTTACACGTAAACACAAAGACACACACACACAATTATCCGCGGACCCCACCCGCCACCTCCTCACGCTGCCGAGAAAGTTACAGAGTGTTCACAAATAGATTGCGGGCTTTTATAGCGCCTTTTCCCAGCAGCCTCCGCGCCGCCGCCGCTGATTGGCTGCTCGGCTGCACAGGGGGGTGGGAACGCGCACGTCGCGTTTTGTATGAGACCGTGGACGCGCTTTCCTCCTTCACCCGCCCCGCCGGTTTCCGTTCTTAGCTGCCGCCGGAGTTTGGGCCCGTGGACGGATAAGGAGGCGGCGCCGGGGAGACGCAGGAGAAGCCCCCCCCCTCAGGTAGCGGGTTGGACGGGGCTGCGGGGCTTCCCTCGCACGGCGAGCGGGCTCCGTCAAAGAGAAACCCCAGAAGTGGAACGGAGCGGAAGCTTGGCCGTCTGCGGCCGCTCCCAGTGCGGCCTGCCCCACCCGCCAACAGCGGCCGCTCCGGGAGCCTCCTCTCTTCTCTTCCGGAGAGGCGGTTGGGATAGGAAGCCCCCCTCCCCGACTCGGCACTCGCGCGCACGCTCCTTTGGGCGGGGGTTGAGAAGCCAGGGGAGGGGAGGGGAGGGGGCGCCGAGGCTCCCTCCTCTCTGTTGCTGGGCGAGGGCGGCGGGGCGAGTGGGGGGCGGGGGGAAGGGGAGGCTCACGTCTCCCTCGACTTCAGGGCGCGACAGGCTGCTCTCCCCTTTGGCGGAGTTAAGCGGAGGGGTCTCGAAGAGGCGGAAACAAAACGGTCTCTCGGTGGGGCCTCGGTCCTATCAGGGCGTCTTCCTCCCTCCCCCGCCACTCCTCCTCTTCCTCCTCCTCCTCTTCTGAATATGGATAATTCGCCTGGAGAAGGGGCGGCGGATCCCTCCCCACCCTCCCAGGTTCTTCCTCATATGTGTTTAAAAGTCAAATTAAAACGCAAAAAACATAAGCGAAAGAAGTTAAGTGAACTAGGTTTTGTTTTTTGTTTTTTGTTTTTTTAGACTTCACTAAAATCCTCGGGGTGCTTTGGATGGCACATCTTCTGCTGAATCTTTGCAGCGTAAGAGTGTCATTAACAGTCCATTTGGCCCTAACGTTTGAAAGAAACTTTTGCTTTTAGAAGCCTGCTTTTTTTTTTCTTTTTTCTTTTTTTTTTTTGGTAGTTTTTGGGGTTAGTATTTCTAGGCCTTCCTGCCCTAAGAGCATCCCACTTATTTAAGGAGAATGCTGTTTTGAAGTGGGCTGTTTGATAACAGTTACGAAATAAGTAGCTCAGCTAAAATAATGTGAGAAAATTAATATTATTCGATGAAAATTGATTTCATCTCTGATTGGCTATCTTCTTTAAGGTAAGTAAGCATAAAAACAAAGCATTTCCTGAGTATTCCCATTAATTACTTAGTGTAAGTTCATAAGTTCTAACTACCATATATGTTGTGAGGTAACTTTTGCTAAAATTATTCTTAGTACATATTTTGATATTTTTTAGGTTACTTTATAAGCAATAATTCAATAACACTACAATATATCTGCTTTTCCAATTTTAGGTGGTGCTGAAAGTGAAAGAACAGTGTTTTGCCTGAAACTATTTAGAGACTTTGTGGCTGAGGTGAGATCTCTGTCTTTGTGCTTTATGAATTCTAACACACGTGTTAATTTTATGTAGAACAAATAAGATATAGTGGCACAACATTGTATCCTGGTGAGACCTGGGTACAGTGTTAAATTATGCCATGAAACTCATTAGATGACTTTGAGGCAGCAGAACAGTAAAAATACGATTTTGTTTTACTACTAAAATAGCAACATAGTAGCCAAGGCTGCCACAGTGGTTTCCTTTGTCTGTTCATAGTCTATGATTTGTGCCTTATAAATGAAGAATTCTGGCCTGAATAAGGAGAGAATGTAGTGTAAAATCAGTAATAAAACCATCATAATTAATATTTTTGAGAATTATACACAGAAAAATATTTTTCTAGGAGACTTTTCTAGACTAACATTCATGTTAGTCTCATGAATGTTGCAGATTTTTGGATTTTGTCTTACTCTTACACAATGTAACATCAGGGAAGGATAAATTAATTATGACGGCTATAACCAATCACAGCATGCTATGACTAATAAAAGTAGCAGCAAGATCTATCATGCTTCATTGCTCTAAAACTAGCAGGCAATTAGTGATAAACATTAATATTTCCATACTGCAAATTCAGTAGCCAGAATAGTTAATCTCTATTAAAATCAGTAGTTTTTCTCCTATCAAACACCTGTCAAATAATGAAGGCCTATCAATATGCTATTGTGATTACCATAGCAACCACACTAATATTGTGTGTTGAACACTGCAGTAGAAGAGAAGGCTGTGTAATCAGAGTAAGGAAGTATTTATGCAATGTTCTGTGTTTCAAAAAATATGAACAATGGTACTTTTTGTTCTGAAACATTGTGTTTTGGTTAATTTAGTCAGTTTAATAAATTATGCAACCTAATTTTGAATTCTTGTCCAGTGGACAGAGGATTTATGACCATATTCTTTTCCATCTTGATTATTTACAAGCTGACAGGAATTGAAATTAAAATGAACTCCAAGAAGCAGAATTTTTAACATCTATTATCACATTGGTAACGTATTTTTGAGGATTGATCATGAGAATAATAATGGATCCAGATGCTTTTGGAGAAAACATTCCTCAGGGATAGGTAACCTGGTACCCTTCAGATATTTTGGAATACAACAGCTGGTACAATTGGCTGTGTTTTCCTGAAAGCTGTACATAAAACATCGGAATCTCCATTGCTAATCAGCATTGCTGAACGGGTTCAGAACTGTGGTTGTCAAGTAGCCCTGATCACCTTGACAAATAATATAGAATATGCCAGAAAAAGAACCAGTTGTAACAATGTTAAGTTTCTCTAGTTTTTTTAATGACTTCTGATACTATAAGCTATGATATACTTCTTGATCAGGTATGTGATCTAGGCATTGGAAACAAGATGGATGGTGATTGTTTTTTCTTATAGGATTTGGTTCCTACGCAGTTTTAAAGCATCTATCTTGTGGAGAGCCATATGTGCTTTTTAACAGGGGCAGTAAGGTCACTTTAATATTTGTAGTGAGGTCATTGGTAATCAGATAACATTTCATTCTCTCTCTCTCTCAATTGACATTGTATCAGTGCTGCATTAATATCTGGATTTGATAATAGGATTTTCTGTATAAAGATCACTAACTTGAAGTTGAGTTCCCACAAGACTATCCTTTTGATAAGTAGGTGGTCTCCAAATTTGAGAATCAAATGTACAATTACATATGCTGTTATGAACCATAGTTCATTTCAAATGATACATGAAATATAATTTTGAAGAATGGTAAATATATAACTATCTTATTGGGAATAGTCTAGAGAAAACAGAACCAATAAGGCAAAGGAAATAAAATGCAAACAAGCCAGACAGTGGCAATTACAGTTGTACTCATAAGTTTACATACCCCTTGCAGAATTTGTGATGAGAGCTTGTAGTTTTTTGTGATAATTGTGAATTGAACTCTTTATTTTCTCCTGTGTTAAAGCTGTCCATCCCTCTTGACAAAACTCCTCCAGGTCCTGTATATCCTTTGGTTGTCTAGCATGAATGAATTGCATGTTTGAGATCTCACCAAAGTTGTTGAGATCAAGAAACTGTGATGGCCACTCTAGAACCTTCTCTTTGTTTTGCCGCAGCCACTGAAGGGTAAATTTGACCTTATGTTTCAGATCATTGTCATGTTGGAAAGCCCAAGTCTGTTTCATGTGCAGTTTGCAGGCTGATGAATGCATATTTTCCTCCATTAATTTCTGATAATACTCTGCATTCATCTTGCCATCAGTTTTGACTAAATTTCCATGCCACTGTACCTTACACATACACAGACACACCCCAAAAAACTAAACAGCAGAGATTCACCTCCATGCTTCATAGTAGGAATGGTGTGTTCCTCTGTATAGGTTCCTCTCCAAACAGTGTTTATTCTTATGACCATAAAGTTTGGTTTTGGTTTCATTACTCCAAATGATTTTGTTCTGCTAATTTTGAGGTTTCTCTAGGTGCTGTCTGTCATATTGTGAGTGGGTTCTTTTGTGGTATTGATGAACCAATCCGCAATGGCTTTTTTTCTGGCAACTTTACCATGCGGCTCATTTTTGTTCAAGTATCTCTTTATTGTGCATGCTGAAATAGCCATACCACTTTCTTTTTCTTCTTCTTTTTTTTTTATTGAAAAAGTTTTACAAACAACAATTTTTCCCCCATTTCCCCCCCCCATCCCTCCCTAACCCCCCCCAAACCCTCCCTCCCCATGACTTCCCCAAGGTGAAATCCATCCACATTGTATTATATCATACTTTACCACCCCTCTATTCTCCTCCCTGTGCACTATAAATTTCTACATCACAATAAGCTATTTTGCCCCTTATAAACTATACATTTCTACACAACGTTTAGCTAAAAACTATCTGGTACTTCCTGGTTTGGTATTTATTCTGCACATAATCTATCCAATTCTTCTACTCCCATACATAAGTCTCTTGAGTCCGGTCTTTTAAGTATGCTGATATCTTCGCCATTTCTGCGAAACTGGCCATCTTCAAGGTCCATTCTTGAATTGTAGGCACATCAACCCTTTTCCAATATTGACCAATCAGTAACCTGGCTGCTGTCACCATATACAATATCAATTTTGTTTCACCCACTGAAAAACCCTTAACTATACCCAGTAAAAACAAATGTGGAGAAAATTGAATTTTTTTCTTTAAAACATTTTGCATAACCCACCAAATCTTTATCCAAAAAGCCTTGACTTTCTTGCATGTCCACCATATATGATAATACGTAGCATCTAAACAATCACATCTCCAACATTTAGGTTGAACATTAGGATACATACATGACAGTATGTATGACTTTCTTTAAGAGAAGCGTGTATTTCAGTAGAGGTTAACTATGGATTTTTTCTTTGCATCCCAACTAATTTTCCTGGCAGTTGTGCCTGACATCTTTCTTGATATTAACAGAACCCCTAATTTTCCAGTTCTTGATGAGCATTTGAACAATACTGATTGGCATTTTCAAACATTTGGATATCTTTTTATGTCCTTTTCCTTATCTGTAAAGTTGAAACTATTTTTTTTCACAGAGCTTTTGACAGTTCTTTTGTTTTCTCCATGGTTCATTAACCAGTGCTGCTCTGGATGAATTGCACAAAGGTTTTTCAAGAACTAAGAAACTTAATGACTATTTATACATAGATGTTAAGTACAATCAAATAAGGCACTGATGTGGTTACTTATCTTTCATTGCCTTCTCAACCTTTGTGAGTTAATTATACTTATAAAATACTGGTTATTCACAAAACTCCTCACTGTTCAGTGTGATAATGTACCATCATCAATCAGAAGTGACTTATTGCAGGGGGTTTCAAATTGTTCAGGCTGAAGAACTTGTTCATTTTTTTAAAAAAATCCAAGATTAAAAGGCAAAGTTCTAGTGATAGAAAATTGGCTGTGGTTTGTTTGTTTGTTTGTTTGTTTTGCCTTTAATCTCATAGAACCTCCCTAAGCTTTCCTGGAACTATAGTTTCATGAAATACATTTTGAAAAATTCTGCCTTTTTCCACTTTGTTAGGAATAAAGAAATCTCTGCAAGAGAATATTTGCACCCACATTGAATGTCAGAAATATCCAGTAAGGGAGTATTTTAACTCCTCAAATGCTTTGTCACTGTCTTCAACATTTGTCCTTGTGAAAAAATGAATCATAAAGGTCAATTTAAGTATAAGAAGACTGAGCTGAAAGTCACATAGAGATTTAATACTACTTTTGAGGAATATACCAATCATCCCATCAAAATATCTACCGGTATGTCAAAACCAGCAAGTATTTTTTGAGTGGTCACCATCTGCAAATATTTGTTACTGTTTTTCTTTTGTACAATATTAAAATACAGTACTACTTTAGTTCTCTTCTGTGCTTTTAGTATTCTCTTACAAAAATAATTTAATAAATATATATATATATTGTGAGATGATAATGTAATTGATGAAGTAGACTGTGGTCCATAGAAGTCTATTATGTGGTAATGGTTAGCTTTCTGGTAGCAAAAGAGAATTTCTGCTGCTTTTACTACCCCCAAAAGAGCAAGAATGTGCTTTGGATCCAAGATGGAGTTTGTAGCACCTAACCCCATCTGTCTCAGAAGTTTGGGATTCTTGCAAAGCAGAATTGGGGCAGATGCTGCAGAGACAAGTAGAAAATTCTTTTCATAAGCAATATTTATATTCAGAATTATTTATAAATCTTTGCAGCTATATATTAGAATTTGAAATTAGTCCGGCACAGAATTCTAGCATATGGATACAAACTTGGCATTAAGTCTAACTATAGATTAAAATTGAGCAAAATATGCTTTTCAATAAATCTAAGATAGAATGAATTAGGACTAAATGCAACGGTAGAGACTTCAAAATGGCTAGAAGAAACACTTTTCAGAACACATTTTCAGTCACTACATAGACAAGAACAGTCTCAGTTTAATTTTTTGTATGTATGTAAAAAGTTTTTGAAAATACAGACAATATGCAGTAAACTTTGAAATTAGTAGACCAAAGAGAAAGGAAGAAATTTCTACTAAAACAGAATGAAAATTAATATGCAAAAGCATATGCAGATAGTCTTCGACTTACAATTATTAGTTTAGCGACTGAAGTTATAACAGTACTGAAAAAATGACACAACCATTTTTCACATTTATGATCCTTGAAGCATCCCTATGGACATGTGATCAAAAATTTGGATGCTTGGCAACTGATTCATATTTATAATGGTTTCAGTGATTCACTTAACAATTGTGGCAAGGAAGGTCATAAAATGGAGCAAAACTCATTTAACTGACTCATTTAGCAATAAAAAATTTTTGCCTCAATGTGGTCATAAGTCGAGGACTACCTGTATATGAAACGACTGTATCCATTACATAAATATCTACTAACCCAAGGTCTATTTTATGTACATGACTGGTGGCACAATTCCCTGTAGAAATGGTCTGCTTAAAAGGATTCTGATCTAAAACTCATGAGATTTGAAGAGTTTCCTGAATGAGTTCTGAGTTCTTGTTTTGTGGTGGTAGTGTTAAAATATTGGCTGCTCCGTAAAATATGAAAATGGCTTAGACAGACTCAGATTTAAATTGGAAACAATAAATAGGAGATTAACAGACCAAAACTGGATACAGATCACACTGAAAATGGACTAGAGTGCAGTTAGAGATAATTTGTGGTTGCAAGAGCAGCAAAGAAAACTTCCCTGTCAGCACTGTGTTCACTCAGTGGATTGTTAAATTGCTGAGACATACTTCACTAAGCTGTTGGTAGGGAAAATTGGGGCGACTGGTGGTCCACTTTGATGGCACTCTTTACAGGCAGGCTCACCTGTATCTACTTCCTTAAATTTACAGTATTGAGGAAATCGATAGTGTGGATGTAACTATTTTATTTTGGACTCTTCTCAGCTTACAAATTCTGGATATAGTTGGGATATCTCAAACAGCAAAAGCTGCTATCACTCTTGTTTTTCTTGACTGAATAAACCAGCTTCTCTATGAGTTGATTCTATGGAGTCATTGGATGCCTATTTGTGAGGACGATTTTCTTTTCCACAAAAAAGCCTCTTCTGAACCTGTCCTTGATTTAGTTTTGGGTAATTATCATAATGGGCCAATTTTAATTACAGTTTACTACTTTAACCAATGTGATTAAAAAGGTTGTGGCATCACAACTTCAGATGCATGTAAATTATGCTGAATATCTTGAGGGTTAGAATTTGTAGCTTCACATGCCCTGTGGAACAGCACCCCCCCACCCCAGGATTGTACAGTCTTGATCTTGTTCAGTTGTAAAGCAAGCCTTGAGATAGAGTGTAGTAGCTTATTCTAATTGTTTAATTCTTGGTTGGGTGGGTTAGCCTCCATAATATATGGTTATGTAGGGTTACCTGTTTTTGTCACTTTACTTTACTCTCTTTATTATTGTTTTGATCTAGCGTGTTTGCCATGTGGAATTTCTTTGGTGACCAAAAAAGCATTTGAGCAAATAATCTTTTGAAATTTGTTGATATTTGGTATCATTGACCGTGGTAAACATATCTGGCACTTTTGGATCATATTCCAGTAGTTATTCTCTTTGATGGTATTTGTCATGACACTATGGTGGCAGGGGTGGGTTTCACTTACCTTTGCTACTGGTTCACTCGCGCACGCCCCGTCTGCGGATGCGCAGGTTGTATTTGATGATGTCCAGGCAGGTGGGCGGAGCCCCCACTGCTGCTGCTACCGGTTCGCCCAAACCAGGGCCAACCGGTAGCAATCCACCACTGTATGGTGGAGAAAATTATTAATCATCTTTTTTTTTAATCTCTTGCAAAGGAAATATGTTTGCTTTGAGATCTTCCCATCCAACCAGCTGTAGCCTTGTTAAAGAGCTTTCTCAGAACTTCAGTCTTTTGGATTAAGGATCTATTCCTCTCTCCAGAAAACTACTTTCAGTGCATATAGAAAGTTTCAATGATCTCTTTTTCAAAATTCCCCCAGTCTGACCTGTAGTATCTCAGGTCTCCCAGTGTCATTGTATATCTCTGGTCTGTAATATTTGTCTTGTTAAAGGATCATTTCTCTCTAGATTTAATATCTACATAAAATTGCTATAATAAGGAATATTACTGATTAACAGGCTGGATGAAGACAAATGAGTTCAGGTTAATTCCAGATGGTGATGTTTTGGTCAGAGGTAATGAAGTTTGTAGCTTGAGAGTTAATCTTGGCTGTATACTTTTCCTGGATATTCTGGTTATGGTAACAAGTATGTTTGCTTTATTTCATTTGGGGTGCCACCTTTGTCCTTTCCAGGACATTTAACGTCTTTCCTGACAAGAGAATGAATATTATTTGGATTGAGTTTTGCAGGACACAATAAAAATGTTTTGTCCTGCTTCTGACTGCCCCTGCAGAGTAAATATTGTCTCATTTAAGTCTGGCACAGACAAAAACTTTGGGCAGAAGTAGTCAGTAGTAGAGTATCACTATGGAATTGATCTAATAGATGTATTTTGCATAAGCATTGGTCACCTAACTATTTTTAGATAAATTTTCTTTGCAAAATCATGATAGGGTACCAGTAAAATATGTTAGATTTTAATATAATATTACAGTATATCCACATCATTTAAGATTGAGGAAACTTCTTAAATACTATACAAATATACTCTGGAATGAATTAAGAAGAGGACTTGTTATTGCAAATTAGTGAGTCAGCCTGGAACTCTTTGTTAAAGAACATTGGCTAAAGGGATAATAAATGATGATACATATTCTTAATGTCAGTGGAAGCTTTTCTAGTGTATTGCCCATTTTTCCATTTGGTACAGCATACTCCATATGATGCAAAATAAGAAATGTTTATGTTGTCCTTTGGATTTAACAAAACATTTTTAAAATCTGAGATAGCATTTGCTAAAATATCAAATTGACTGAGAATCTTGAATTATTTAATGATTGTTTTATTTACACTGGTTTTGTTTTTACTTAATTAGAAAAGTAACTTATAATAAACTGTCTCCATCTATAAACATGTCTATCTGGACAGAACTGTTGAACATGGGTGTCTAAAATTGTGTCACTTGCAATAAAACTATATTCAAACTTTTTTTATTTTTGTTTTTCTTGTACTGTTCTTTATTTTCATATCATTTCATATTTTAAAATAAATTTAAAAGTTTGTTTAGGCTAATATGTGGTAGGAAGGAAAGGTAGAAAAAAGCTCAGTTGTGGCTATATAGAGGTAATTGGAAGCTTTCACATCTATTTTAAATGAATTGCATTTTGTCATATCAGAAACCCAAATAAACATTTGTGGTTTATTAAAACAAGCAAACTTCATAAATTATAAATTATGAATTAACATCAACACTGATGCTGTTTCTTCAAATAACAAAATACTTTTCATCAAATATTTTCACAATTTCTCTCAGAGCTCTCTCAGAGCTCTAGTGGCTCAGCAGACTAATTAACATCCACTTACATCTGCTGCCTGCAATTACTGCAAGTTCAAATCTCACCAGGCTCAAGGTTGACTCAGCCTTCCATCCTTTCTAAGGTAGGTAAAATGAGGACCCAGATTATGGGGGCAATAAGATGACTTTGTATAAATATACAAAAGTATGAAGGCTATTGCTTAACGCATTATAAGCCGCTCTGAGTCTCCGGAGAAGGGCAGCATATAAATCAAATTTTAGATAGATAGATAGATAGATAGATAGATAGATAGATAGATAGATGTCATTCTTAGTCTTAATCCTAAACTATTTTTGTCTAATAGTTTGTCTTGCTGACAGTCATTTCAATACAGATTTGATATCCTAAATTTTTGACATCCTGTGAAATATTATTATAGTTACAATGTACAACCAATGTGTATGTTTGAAAAAAAAAAACCTGTAGATTAAATAAACGGGGGTTGATTGCCCTAGTTTTTTTACCCTTATCGTAAAGTAAGATAATTTTTCAATTATCCTTCTTCTAAAATAATAGCATTAAATGTTAGTACACTGCCATACTCCTTCCAGATTTTCATCTATATATTTACATAATTCTAATCAAATAGGTCTTTCTTACACTGTTCACAGATAATCATACTATGCCAAAAGTAAGCACTAACTTCTGTGTGACTCAAATAATAGACTTGAAATATAATCTTAAATATTTTTCAGCACTTTTCCTTAAAAGCTCATGACTCCAGAGCTTGTTCAAAAATGCGGAAAGATTTTATTTACAAATCCTAAATGTTAACAAAACACATTCCTGTATTCATTTAACATACAGCCAACAAAATATATTATGATTTAATGTGATGACCTGGTTTATACAGCATGTTAATACAGTGACTGGATTATTACAACATGCTAAATCCCATTTTCTCTTAGACTAGCATATTTTATGAATCCTTTCATAGGAAAAGAATGGCATCAATTGACAAGTTTTGAATATACTCTGATATTTAACACTTAAGTCAACTGATGCATAACTTTTACTTTTAGACCAGGATAGTGATTTATGCTTTTTCCCCTTTCATGCTACGTACATTTTCTAAATTCTATTACATTTGTGAAAAAACCATTTTACTTAGTTGGGATTAAACTAATGTTTGCATTTATTTATTATTATAGATGGGTCATATATCATATTAGATTCATTTTTCCACATGTTCCATTTTTATTTATAAATCATTTATGGGCAAGTGACCTTTAGTTAGACTTTCTGCATGCTCAGCCATTCTTTTATCATTAGTTTATTAACCATCAACTGGGAACAGAGCAACAATTTTTTCCTTCTAATAGAGGAACAAAAACTAGAATTTTGATAAGCTGCTCACTACCCTCCACATTCCAGCCTTATCTTTCTACTGAATGATTTTACTAATCCTCTCAGTGGGAACAGGTGAGCTGGGTACTTTTCTGTATAGTGAAACAGTCTGAGCTTAATAGCCAAGAGCAAACCAATTCTTACAATGGAAGAGAAATAAGATTTGACAGCACACATGTAAACACACAACAAAACATGCTGAATAAACCAGATTGTTTTTGAAAAATATATATCCCTTCCACTGCTTTTATGGATTGTTTTACACATACATATAAACCATAATGTAATTTGGCCTAGTTTACTGTACTATACCATTTCAGCTCTTATGGCTTCATATTATGTGTGGGCCCTGTCATAATGACTTGTTAAAAAAAATAATGATTTTTTAAAGATCATACTTTATAAGTAAACCAAATCAATACATATAAACATATTTTAGACAGTTAAAGATACTTTTCTTTATTATTAATTATTTGGGATATGTACATGGCAACCAACTCATACACTGTCACTGGGTGGCATACAAAAACTATTAAACAAAGATATAAAAGAAAAATAACATATACCATTAAAACAAACAGAGCAAACAATGATCAGAATTAAATATGCTAAGTCTTACTAATTGGGAATTTTGCTCATTCTGAGCCAAGTATCCAGAGAAAGAGCCAAGTCCTAACTGTCTTTCTCAAGGCCTGTAGTGTCAGGGCCAACTATAACTATGAGTGTTTAATAAGAATTGATTGCAGCTACTAGGATACTGGAAAACCTTGTATTCTAAAACACTCACTTTTCTTGTCGGCCACCCCTCTCTGGCTCTTCAGGAGGTAGTCCAACAGTTTTCCAGAAATCCTCTGGAATAGACTGTTTCCTGTTTCAGAAATGTATTTCTGGAAAAAATTTCTGACCAATGCAAATAATCAGATCAGCATAACTGGAGAAAAAAAGAACATTCCAGAGTTTCCCAGAATGTTCTATCCTTGGAATGGAACACTTTGCACATCCTTACCAATTACCTTGCTGTAGAAAGTACATGAGAGCCATGTTTAATTCACTTCTGAATTAAAATCTTCCCATTTCAAAAAAATGCAAGCTGTATGAAACATCTATTCATGGGATTTATTTTAATAAATATATATTTCTTTTATATACTACTTAAAGCATTTTTTAAAACACATATCACTGGAAAGGCTAGGAATTAAGATTCAGTCCTCACTTAACAATACTAATTCAGACTGGAAACTCTTTTTAAGTAATACATTGTAAGTTGAAAAACTACATCACTGTGCTTAGTAATGGCAATTCCCACAATCCAAGTTACCATTATTCAGTCAGAACCTCATGTGACTGCAACTTCTAACTTCCTACAGCTTCCTTGTGACTTTGCTTGTTGGAAGTCTGCAGGGAATGTTGCAAAGCCTGATTACATGGCTATAGGATGCTGTAATGGCCATATGTATGGGGACCTCTCATACATAGCACTTGTTCAGTACCATTGTAAATTTGAATGACTGGTGAACCAGAGTCCCTTAAACAAAGACCATCTCTAATACTATTCTGATAGCAATGTTATTGCCTCTGACCAAGTTACTAAGCAAGCAGTATTCTTGGAAATAGATGTTGCCTAAGTATTTCCAAATTTTGCAAAAGTAAAATTTGATAAAATGCATATATTTTTTAAATTTCTCAAATAAATTGAGAGTTGTACCTTGGAAGTTCTTACTTTATGTCCCTAATAAGGCTTCTAAGGCAGCAAATAAATACATTGGAGGAACTGGGGAGATTACTTCTATCTTTTTTGCCTCTTTAAAAGCCCTCTGAGCTTCATGACAGATCTTTTTCCCAAGGTTGTAGGGATGGGAAGAGGAAGGAAATAAAAGGCTGCACAAAGAGGATCTTTAAAGAATTGAATGTATTGTCTCATGAATAGATAATGTCAGTTTACAAAATAGCTATGTTGGACTGAGGCAACAAAAATAATATATCCTGTGGCACATTAAAGCAAGTCAGTATTATGCACTGAAGTAATCATTTTGGATTGCTTAAAGAAAGTTAGTTGTATTCCAGGTTACTGTTTTGAATCTGGTACTCGTCTACATTTTTGTGAATGAGTTATGAAACTATGGAGGGCAGTCTGCAACTGCAAGCCACATGCAGTTCTTGTACTGATGAATTTTAGCAGTGAAATCACCCAAAATTAATGTTAGTATTCCCCATGTTTTGAGTCATAAAATAAGTTGTATACACTTTATAACATCACCCGGGCAATTCTGACAGTCACCCATGCCCTAGTCACTTCTCAGCTCCATTACTATATGGGGCTGTCCTTGAAAACCACTTGGAAGTTGGATTATGGTTGGATCACTTCTATTGAGGGAGCAGCATTCCTAGATAGACCACATATAAAATATCTTTGGATTGATACACTTGATTGGGTTCCGAGTCTTAAAATAAATAGTATCTCTTTAAAAGAATTGAAAAGACTTTGAACTGTAATTGTTCAAAAGAAAAGAATTTAAGCAAAGGACAAAGTTGGAAAAAAAATCATGAGTACAAGGAAACAGAAAGGGCAAAGGGATTGTGATTCAGTAAATATATCTGTTAAGCAACATGGCTATTCAAATATTTCTAAAACTGAAATCATTTTACTTACTTAAAACATTAAGGATTGATAATGTACATATAAATAATACTTGCAATGCCACTTTAGGTTTATATTCATTATATCATATTTTTTATTTATACACATACACACAGATACACATTCTGTTTGAGCACAATCATTGCAACCAAAAGGAAGCCAACTAAACTTTATCTGGCTGCCTTCCAGAGCCTTCTGGACACATGGGATGGGTAAATAAGAAGATAGACTGATGTGATCATGCTGTTTTTATTTATAGCATGACCTCAGACTTAAGACTCCATTTGGATTAGCTCACTTGAATTTCCAATCCGTCCATTGTATAGTGAATGAATTATCTGCAGGAGTAGGAAATAATATTTAATATTTTTGTTATGGCAAAGAATCAAAAATAGCTATTAATAATGTGCCCATTATTTCCTTTCTATTTCCTTATGCTGTTAAGAATACAATAAAGAAAGACAGTGATACGATGCTTTTGATTGAAGTAGAACAACATCTGCAGTGTTTCAGCTGAGGAGAAGATGGCGAAGATCCAAGAAACGCAGTGTTGTATATACAAAAAGAGGAGTTGAGAGGAGAGCCAGTGCCTTGTAAAAAAAACTATTATGTTAGACAAAGAAACAACTGGGTCAATTGGTAGAACTCTATATAACGAGAGCATTATGTGATTTCCAGTTGTTTGACAGCAACAGAATCACTCTCAGTTAATCTGAAATTTTGGGTAGACTTTTTTTAAAGGCGATTTGTGAAGTCTCTTCTATTCTGGACCCTAAACACATGCTCTAGTTCTGTATTCTTTAATTCTATATATGTGTGTATTTTGCACCAGACTACAATGCATATTGGGCTCTAAAAAAATCAAACTAAATTCTACTCTGCAGTCTTAGATTTCGCTGTTGTATTTAAGCCTAGAACAAGAAATGAATTGATAGATGCAGTTTAATTTATATTTAGTGAGGAATGGGACCTCAGAAACTTTCTCGATGCAGGAAATAGCAATAGAAAGTTAACTTTCAGTAATTTTACTATCATTTTCCTTGTCTCCCTTATTCAATGAAATAAGTTTTAAAAAAAACCTCTTGTATGTTTTAATAATCAATTTGTTTGTTTTTCTCACAGCTATGGCAGCCATTCGGAAAAAACTGGTTATAGTTGGTGATGGTGCCTGTGGCAAGACATGTCTGCTAATTGTATTTAGTAAAGACCAGTTTCCTGAAGTTTATGTTCCTACAGTATTTGAAAACTATGTAGCAGATATTGAAGTTGATGGAAAGCAGGTATGTTTTTCTGCCACTGTCAATTTCTGTTTTAAAAACTTTATAGACTACCATACGTAAACTAAAGTTTTGTGCCATATGTTGGATCCAGAATGCTTTTCTCACAATGGTAAAATCTCTTTCATTCATAAATGGTCCTGCTGAAGATAGGAAGGTGAGATGTGATTCCAGGAGATGCACTACTTTAGCATCATTTCTGAAACCTTGAAAAGGTGGTGTGTAGTTTTTTGTAGATCTCTAAATTATATTTTTGTTTTACAGAAGCTTTTGCAATGGCACATAAACGAAGTGGAAAGTAACCCATAATTTAATATAGGATTTATTTCTTATAAATAATTTGCAAATTAGAACGGGCCTGAATATTTGGAATTATTTAAACTTACTTATGCTCTGCTATTAATATCCATAAGACAGTCACATTTAGTAATAATGAACACACTAAATATTTGAAGATGTAAATGGATTTTAACAGGTGGTTTCAACAAGCCAGCAAAAAACTTGAAGCGCCCCTTCAAGTCAGCATCAAAAACAAGGAATTACAGGTAGTCCTCAACTTACAACCACACTTGAGCCCAAAATTTATGTTGCTAAGTGAGAAATTTGTTAAGTGAGTCTTGCCCCATTTTACAACTTTTCTTGCCATATTTGTTAAGTTAATCACTTCAGTTGTTAAATTAGTAACTCGATTGTTAAGTGAATCCCCATCGACTTTGCTTGTCAGAAGGTTTCCAAAAGTGATCGTTTGACCCAGAGAGACTGCATCCGTCATAAATGTGAGTCAGTGGTCAAGCATCCGAATGTAAATCACGTGACCATGAGGATTCTGCATCGGTCATAAGTCTGAAAAAATGTCATAAATCACTTTTTTCAATGCCGTTGTAACTTTGAACGGTCACTAAGCTAATTGTTGTAAGTCGAAGACTAGCTGTACTCCCATAGCTTTGTTATCACAACTGAAGATCATACTTTGCACAGGATGCCTATATGGATGAGGAGAAGTGGCAGCCTATGAAATGAATCTTGAGTAGCTATGTTTTGTCACATTACATTTTTCCTTTTCCAATATGAGTGTACTTATTATTCCTGTAGGTGGAGCTGGCCTTATGGGATACAGCTGGACAAGAAGATTATGATCGACTTAGGCCACTTTCATATCCAGACACCGATGTTATACTAATGTGTTTTTCAATTGATAGTCCAGATAGTTTAGGTAAGTAGGTAAAATTGAAACACATGCCATATTATGTAAATTACTATACAAGGTAGCCCTTATTGCATAACAACTTCTTCAGTGACTGTTCAAAGTTACAATGGCACTGAATGAGGGAGTTTTACAATAAGTCCTTGTAGTTGTGGCCATCACAATGTCCCCAGGACCATGTGATGGCAATTCAAGAGCTTGGCAACCACTTTGCAATTAGGATAGCCACAGCATCCTGCGGTCATATCATTGCCATTTGCTATCTTCATTGCCAGCGACTAGCAACCAGAGTCAACAGGGAAGCTAGCAGAAGATCTCAGATGGTGATTACTTAACCACAGGACGCTCTGATCATGCAGGATTTGCCTAACGATGGCAGCTGGGACTGCTGCAACTACCTCTGTAAATCAGCGTAGTCAGTGGTATCTTGTTTTACCATCACATTGCTTACTGAGGGAGCCTACCAGTTCTAATTACCATCATTAAGCAAGGACTACCTGTATTATCAGCATCCTGTACAACATATAAATGAGATAAAACTGTGAGGCAATAGTACAATCACAACATAATTTCTCTCTCTTGTAATAGAAATTCATCTTTATAAAATCATGCCCTTGCCTGAAAGAAAAGTAAAGTGTTATTTTAAATACACAATTGACTGCAATTGAGCCAAACATTTCTGTTGCTAAATAAGACGGTTGTTAAATGAATTTTGCTCCATTCTATAACCTTTTTTGCTACAGTTGTTAAGTTAGTAACATGGTTGTTAAATAAACTTTGCTTCCCCATTGACTTTGCTTGCCAGAAGGTCACAAAAAGTGATTATATCACTCCAGGACATTGCAATGTTCATAAATATGAGCAAGTTGCTTAATGTCTGAATTTTGATCGTGTGACTGTGGGGATTCTACAATGATTATAAGTGTGAAAAAGGGTCATAAATCACTTTTTTTCAGTGCCATTGTAATTTCAAAGAGTTACTAAATGGTTGTGAATCAAGAACTGCCTGTACTTTTCTTTGCTTAGAAAAGCTGTGACTTTTAACTGTTCATATATGTTTTACCTAAGTTTACTTAGCTAATATTTAATTTAAATATTAAATGTTTTAATAACATATTTTCCAACACAGGCCTCCATTACTTGTCAAGACTGCTATGTTAAATAGACACTGGAGAACTCATCCTGTGAGGCAGCTGCTCTATGATATAAAAAGATATGGGGAAACTAATTCTCATGACTATTTTTGGATAAAGAAATCACTGATATTATTTTTAGTTTAATATTGATTGAAGAGTTGATCTCTGATATTTGCTTCATCTCAGAAAACATTCCAGAGAAGTGGACTCCAGAGGTGAAACACTTCTGTCCCAATGTACCCATCATTCTGGTAGGAAATAAGAAGGATTTGAGGAATGATGAACACACAAGACGGGAGTTGGCTAAAATGAAGCAGGCAAGTCATCTTTTTTATTATTGTTGTTAGCCTTGTCAAATAAACTATGCCAGTTTTGATTAGACAGATAGTCCTTGTTTAGTAACTGCCTCAGACAGCACCCATTTGCAATTATAGCAGTGATGAAAAAGTAAGTTTGTAACCAATTCCTGCATTTGCAACTTTCATAGCAGCTTTTTCTCTGTCACATGTTTGCCATTACAGTCAGTACACGTTATCTTGTGCCTGACCCATTTTTTCCCTTTTTCTTGCCCCTTTGCAGGGCAAAGATAATTAAACTGAGTTGCTATTTTCCACAGTCCAGGAGGTCCCTGAAAAGTTAACAAGCTCCCTCTTCAGCCTTAATTACCTGATTAGGACCTTGGGCCAGCTCCCAGCAGCTGTCTGAAATTGATAACACCTTAATCAAGTTCACATTAAAGGCTTTTATTTGCCTCCTAGACTACTCCCTAGGGCAGTGATGGCTAACCTTTTCCGAGTGCCCAAAGCGTGTTTGTGTGTGCGAATCTGCGTGTGCATGCCCGAACCCCCCAAAATGCAATGCACATGCGGCCCCTTGAGTGTGTTCTGTGCACGCTCACACAGCCCCCCATATGTGCCCAATAGAACAATGTTCAATTGTTAGAACATTATGATGGGATGAAGATAGTTTTAAGTTGTACTTCTTTACCATTTGGGTTACTAAGGTTTCTAAATTTGTGTTTTCACCAGAAATAAGGTTCCTTACAGAAAAGCTAGATCATTATGAATCATGCCAAACTGCATAAAAATTAGTGTGGTAGCTTTCAAGATGCCCAGTATTGATTGTAGCAAGCCTTTAAGTAACTTCCCCAACATTCCAAATATTATTTTGCTAATGTGGCTAAACTGATATCTCCTTCCTGATGTTCAGTCCTTTTGCTCTCAGAGCATATGCACCAAATGCAAATGCAACAAAAATAAATAATACTGCAATTTATGTCAAGGTGAGCACATCAAGAAAAATAGCAGTAAATGTTTGAAGATTTGAACTTTTGCTGGTTTAATTATATTGTTCTGTACTTAAATCTAAGAGGTCTGCAAACTCTTGTGACTTTTCTGGGGGGAAAAATAGACCGATTCAAATAGAAGACCTGCCATCATATTACATAGATTATGAAACATACTTAAAATTTTGAAGTTACTAAATCAGATTAAGAATACCCAACATATGTGCTCCCCAGAGCTATGTGCATGAAAATAAAATGATTGTTGTAATGTGTATTTATCTTGAATTTTTAAAAATCGTTTTACTATTGATATGTAAAACTGCCATCAAAACTCTGGATAATATTATAATCACATTAATTTTAAAAAGTTTCCATGTTCTAGAAAAGAATAGTCCCAAATTATTCTAGTCACTATAGAATCTGAACTGCATCGGAACTGGAAATATATATATGTATGTATATATTAAATAAATTCCTTGCCTTCAAATTAATTAGCTTTTTTGTTTAATAGGAACCAGTCAAACCTGAAGAAGGTAGAGATATGGCAAATCGCATTGGTGCTTTTGGATACATGGAATGCAGTGCAAAGACCAAAGACGGTGTGAGGGAAGTTTTTGAAATGGCTACTAGAGCTGCTTTACAAGCCCGACGTGGCAAGAAAAAATCTGGGTGCCTTCTGTTGTAAGCACAGCCAAGGGAAGATGGCTGAAGCAGTGCCCTGCACTCAATGAATTTTTGAAGTGCTGTTTATTAATCTTAGTGTATGATTACCAGCCTTTTTCATTTATCTATAATTTACTTAAGAGATTTAAAATTGAGTCTTGCTACCAGTATTTAGAAGCCAACCATGATTTTTTTATAATGGTCTGCATCAAATACATCTGTGCACATAAGGGTTAACTTCAACATTCCTTTAACAAAACTTTTTTCTGCATTTGCAGAGTATGCCATGCAGAATATGCCAGGCACTAATTCAAGACAATTCTCTAACTTCTTGCTTTTTTTTACAAATGGGAAAAAGCTGGCGACACTGAGAATTGGGCTGTAACTACTCCATAACTAACATGTTCTAGCCTATTCAGGTACAGCACACATAGCTGTGGAAAGGTCCTGAATAAGTTCAGTGTTTTCACTTTAAAAGAAGGATTTTTTTCTCCTCCTTCTGTTTGAAAGCTCTGAAGCATAAAATAATAATTGGAAAATTATTTCTCTGAAACACCAAAAGTCCCACCCAGCTATGAAGTGACAGTTCTGTGATTTCATGTTAGTTACCTTATAGTTACTATGTAATTAGTGCCACTTTGTGTGTTACCAAAAAATAAATCTATATGCCCCAGTTAGATGTAGTATTTTTTGTATAATTGGATTTCCTAATACTGTTGCTTGTAACTTCTGCGTAAAGTGTTCTGGGTTTTTTTAAGAGTGTACTTTCAAATAAAGTCAAATGAAGAATGGTGCCCTTCCCACATTTGTAACTATCCAGGTCATTTTTATGACTTAAACACACCCAGAAAAGTCATCTTTAATACCTCCTTCAGGAGTAAGGGAAAGGCCATTATTTTTACATTAAAGGTCACTGAATGTTCCAGAAGCTTTAAGTTAACCCCTGCTGAATCTGGTTCCAGTCTGAACATAAACTTTTGCTTATCATCCGCTGGCCAAATTCCCATCCTGTGAATGTCCTGCTGTTCTGCAGCAAACTAAACTCTTCTCTATTTCTTGTTTCCAACAACTAATAGAATAAAGGCAGTTTTCTAAGCTCCCTGTATTGTGGTTGTTTATATTTCTCACTCTTGTTCTTCAAATATAAATTTTGACATAGCGTTTGAATTATCTGATCCAAAAGAAAATATAAAGAAAATGTTTCCGTATTAGTATATTTCCTAGTAATGCTGCATCCACAAAGCCATAGTAACACTTTTGCTTCTGAATATCTGTTGGCTAATCTTGTGCCTAAAGGCAGAGGTGAGTATCAGCAATTAGTAACCCTGAAGTTGCTACCTAAGTGACACAGGAGAACAGCTCCTTTCTTTCAGGAAAGAATTATAACTCTTGATAGATTAAGTATACATAAACAAAATACTTTAATTACATAGAATTTCTAGAACATGGTGATTAATAATAAAGTTACAGTACAGATAGTCCTCAACACTTACAACAGTTCACTTAGTGACCGTTCAAAGTTATAATAGCACTGAAAAAAGTAACGTCCATTTTTTTTAACTTATGACTGTTGGAACATCCCCATACTGACTCAGATTTATGACAGCTGCAGTGCCCTGGGGCCATGTGATCACCTTTAATAACATTCTGACAAGCAAAGTTAATAGGGAAGCCAGATTCACTTAACTACTGTGTTACTAACAACTGCAATGATTCACTTAACTGAGGCAAGAAAGGTGGTAAAATGGGGCACAATACACTTAACAAATGTCTCACTTAGCAACAGAAATTTTTGGCTCAATTGTGGTCATAAGTCAAGGACTACCTGTAAGACATACAGTTTGCCAATGTGCATTTTTGTATATGGACATGTCCATATACAGATGTAACATACATGTACATAAAGTAATATTAAATCTTGGTAGTTAAGAATTCTATGTAGCAGGGATGCCCAGCTATCGGGCAGGCTGCATATACTGTGTTTTTAATATACTGTATATCATTAAAATTAACAGTAAACCCATAGACTGTTAGAACCATAGCTTCAGATCACATTGCTGAAAGATTTTTCTAAACTTCCAGCTTCCACCACCATATTGCAACCAGTGATGACGGGAGGAGGAGGGGGAACAATGGCAAATTAAAAGTGTCTCTGACAAATTGTTTTTCTTTGTATAAATTTAACACAGCATTCTTGATTGTAGTATATCCTGGCACAGAAGAAAGTTGTCTAACCAGTTAGACTACTCTCTTCTCCTTCCTTTTTATGGTCGAAGACTTGACCTTTGCAGTAAAATGAGAGAAGTTTGGATTTACAGAAGTTAATATATGTACCCATTTGTGACCAGGTTTTGTTATTCAATGTTTATATATACACACAGAAGTTAACATCTAAAATCAGTATATTTATTTGCAAAGAAATATTTTGCCTTGTGTTCCATTTCTGTCATTATACACTTACTGTATTTTTATATTCCCACACTTTATGAGGCGTTACGGAAGTAAAGTAAAGGCAAAATTTAAAAATCACACATCAGCATGTAGCAAAAATCAGTAACCAAGTTTTATTTTATACTAACAACTATATCTCACATTATTTTCATAGATTTTCTGAAACTCAACATAAACCTTCCATTTGTCATTCTGCTCCAATCTCATAAGGAGGGAACCCTCGGGCACTTGCACATAGTACCAAGTGCCAAATCATAAAATATTTTATAAGTCAGAAACAACACTTTGAACTGTATCCATAGATAGTCAGTGCTGCATTCACAAGTATTTGTGTATTGTGATTTGTTTGCTAACACAGCTGCTGCATTTTAAAGCAATTGCAGTTTCTAAGTAGTCTTCAAAGGCAATTCCAAGCAGAGCACATTGCAGTAATTCAACAGAAAATGACAAGCTTATGAATCTCTGGCCAGGATCTCTTTCAAGAAGGGCCACAACTGGAACACTAGTTGAAACTGATTAGTGTCCCTAGCTACAGCTTCTACCTGCCTATCTAGTAGTAGCTGTGAACTAGGGGGACCTGAAATTGCTGATCCATTCCTTCAGGGAAAATGCTGCTTCATCCAGTGCAATCATTGGAACAATTGCAGTGAAAGATGGTTTCTGGACAGTTTGAACCATCCTGGGATTCATTTCAACTTGTTTATCTCCAACCAGATCTTTATAGTCTTCTGACACTGCCAAGACTTCCACTACATCACTGTCCTAGCCCCAAATGATGTATATCTAAGAGTCTTCAACATATTGCTATTTCACCCCAAATTGACAGATCTCTCCAGATTTCATATAAATGCTGAACACTAGGGAAGAAAAACAATCCTATGGCACCCCCAACACTGAAGTAGCTAACAGACGCATTCTAACCATGGCAGACTCCCAGCAATACTAGCAGCCAAGAAGGATATATTGATTAATTATACTGCATGCCATTGAGATCTAAGAGGATAGGAGAGGTACACACCCTCAATTGAATCCTCAAGTTAACCAAAAGTGTAACCAATATAGTTTTCACTTTATGCCCAGGTCTAAATTCTGACTAAAAATCAGATAATCCAGTGGCAGAGCCAGACTCCTAAGGAAGGATACGAGGTGAGGATAGTCCTTATCACAGAGAGTAGAATGTTCCAAAGGATGGCACTGTGTCAGAGAAGGCTCTTCTGGATCCCCATTGTTGGAATTCATTTAAAACACTTAATTCACATATGTCAAGTATGTTTGCTAACTATGGCTTAAATAACCTACAACTGGTTAGATTCACACAATACAGCCACAGTTTGCAAACCGCAAAATCTCTTGGTCTAGAAACATCTTAAAAGAAAGACATTAAGCATGTATAAACCCTTGGATATTATTCACCTAAAATTGCTCTTTGCAGACTAGCAAAAATCTGCTTTATACTTTCTAACATTAGTATTTTTAATTTGCCATTTCTTCAAACACAATCCCAAAATAACATTATGCCTCAGCAGTGATGCCAGGGAGACTTACAACATGATTAGTGGGTAAGAAAAGTTTCCATTTCAGTGAGTGACTCATTAATCCTGTTTCTCCTGCACTGATGAGAGGTGGGGTGCTACTGGAGAGGGAAACAGGATGATTTACCATAATTACAGTCAGTAACTTATCCAACAAAATTAGTAAAGCAGTCCTCTAGCATACCATTTGAGCAAGAAAATGATGGGTGTCTGTTCTTATTTGCCAGATTTGCAGTATTGGGTCATTTTTCAGTCTTTCCTTGCCTACAGGACAAGTGGCAGCTAGTAAGTTTCAGTTCTTTCCCCTTACAGTGGGGGTGGGGGGGGTAGGGGGTTCCCATGTTTTTCAGTTTAAAAAACTCCCAGGAGACTTGATCAAGAAGCAAAGTTCTACAGTAGTGATAGAAAATTGGCTGTGTCTGATTAATCTTATTCTGGCAGAGAATCCCATCAAGTTCTCAAGAGACTCTAGGGATCTGCAAACCCAGTTTGAAAAAAACTGTTTGAGAGGAGCAGCTCAATGCCCAATTATGGCAAGCTCTGCTTCCTCCTTTCTGGAGCTATCTCTGTTTTGGCATCTTTTCCTTATGTTTTTTAATTCTCATTATTTGGGGAAATAGATTATTGGAGGAAAAGCAGAGGAAACAAACAGAGTCCTGAAGTCTTACCCGTCCTGGTCTTCCTGCATTACCTCGATTAGTGGATGTTTTCCTCCAGTTGTTGGTGTGTTGAAAGGAGATAACAGCAAAGCTGGAGGAGAAAAACAATAATTATGGCATTAATCAGAGACACGGCATCTGAGCATGAATTGGAACAATGCCCTAAGAGGCTGGCTAGACACTGACAATAGGGACAGTTTTGTGCCAGCTTTATTTTCTGCCAATTCAAGGATGGATGTTTAACATTTTTACAAAGTGCCCTTAGAATAAAGTCCGTTTCCCATTGCTAGACCTTACTAAAACAGACACACAGAAAAATCTCTGCGTTAAAAATCTTTGCATTTACAATTGCAAAGCTACATTTGAGAATTTAACTACTTTTTCCAGTTTAAATTTCTCATAAAACTGTTCAAAACATGTCCTATAATTTTCAACCAGTTTTGCAAACCAGAAAATGGAACCATTTAGAACCCCTGGCAAATCCTCTTTTCTAAGAATTCCCAGTAAAAGAAAATTAAAGGTCAGACTCAGTTTTCTGACATGCCCAGACATGGTTAATTGGGGAGTTCTTGCCTGTTTATTAAGGGATCTCTTCTTTCAACCCAGCTCTAGGAAAATTAGAAAGGAAACTGACACGTTTAGGATTCATAGACACCCCCCCTCATGCTTCGGTGCTCACAGCAGACCCTACTTGCTCCTTTAAAGTGATCCCATTCCACCCTTCCTTTTCTGGAGCACTCACTATTCCATTCCCTCCCCCCAATTCTCCATCTCCCCCCCCCCTCATATCCCAATTTATCTCACTTCCTTTTCTGGAGCACTAGTCTTGGTTTATACAATGTGGAATATAATTAAAAACCAGTCTCTCTAGGGGGGGATTGACCATTAGTTTCTCCAAAGAACATGTTCCATTTCCAATGTCTTGAATATAGCCAACAAATCAGCAATTAAGAGGTTAAGAAGATAGACTGCACCAGAATTTGGTGAAATTATAAAATGAATGTATTTTCCACTGCGTTAATCATTATATTCTGGGAGGGGCTTTAGGAATAATCAAAAACTCCCTCTGTTTAAACCAGGAGTGTCCAACTTTGGCAACTTAAAGACCTGAAGACTTCAACTTCCAGAATTTTCAAGCCATCCATTCTGGCTAGGCAATTCTGGAACTTGAAGTCTACAAGTCTTAAAGTTGCCAAAATTGGATACTTCTGGTTTAGACTTCAGCACAGGATCAACCTATCAGATCCTTTACTGCGTACTGTTGTGCCACACCAAAAGTTAGGGTTTTGCCACATGGGACCAGGAAGATGGAGCAAGAATTGTGCAGGAAGTCCTCCATATAGTTTATGAAAATTTAAACCATGGGTGGATAAACTGTTGCCAGGACACTACTTGCTGCTGTTGGCACAGTTTCAAAAGTATTTAGCACATAATCAAATAGAAATCTTGCAGTTTTA